TCAGGAGACAGACTGGGCATCCTCCTGCCCCCTGAGATTGCTCTTAGATCCTTACTGCACCCTCTCGTGCACAAAACCAAGTTCCCTTGAAATTACCACCAGCCACCTTCCATGTTCATTGTCATCAGCAACCTACTCTTCATTTATTCAAGCTACTGAAGATTTAGGCATCAGTGGACAGTCTTCCTCTCTAACCTGCTATGGGTGAAAAACACTCCATTTTCGATTTTTTGAACTCTAATGACTCCTGCTCCATGTCCATAATCACATCCTAGAACTTGTCGTCATTGGGCACTACTTACCTCCATCCAAACATCTCCTAGTCACAGCGTAATCTTCCCATTCTCTCCATTTGTTATTGTCACCGCAGCTGCTCTTCAATCCATTTGTGATCTCTGCTCCCTCATCCCTTCAACTGCCATCTCCATATCCTCTGTTGTCCCATCATGACCCCGAGGCAAACTTCTTCAGTCACTCTCTTGCTAAAGTCTTCAAGTCCTCAGTGTCTTTTTTTCCATCTCTTCTCTCTGGAAAACTAATTTTACAAATCTCCAACTGATTGCCTTTTCTGCTCCCACTCCCAGGGCTCTGAGTGCTGCACATGAAGCTTGATGCTATACAAATGCATGTTCTCTAATTTCATGCAGGCTTCAAAGATGCCTTCAATTTATACAACTGCCTGAATCAATTTCTTTCCAACTTTTCTCATATCCCTCAAGCCCTCCTCTCCACTACCTCCTCCTCCTATCTATGAAGAGTGCATCTGCCTCCTTCCCTCTTGCAGAGAATGAATGCTATCATCCAGGATGTCTCAAATTTCCTGATACTCCTAACTCATAACTTCATCCACACATACCTCTGCTTCATCCTCTCTGCTTACAGCAGGAAAGTCAGAGAGTATCCACTCGAATACAAACCCTTATCCCTGCAAGATGGATCAGACAGGATCTGTGCTATGGGTTGAAGGATATAGCCAATCTGCAGTGACCCACACCAGGAAGGGATTGGGGAATTAATGCCTCAAGCTCACTTATCTCCTGTCTTCCCTCGTCTCTTGCTAGTGCTGCCCAATGACTGAATGTAACAGGAAGCCTGAAGGGAAGGGAGCCCCAGTGATACAACTGATAAAATTTCAATCCCCCAGGACACTGGGCAGAGAGGAGAAGATAGTGATCTAGAAAGCCAGAAGAAAGCATCCAGCATATCCTCCTTCTTTTGAGCTAAAAATCAAGAAGGATCTTCCACATTTTGTACTTCAGTGGGGTGTGGTCCTTAAAGCACACTTAGCATGCCCACTAATTCATGTGTAGAGAGGCAGAGGAGCACAGAGAAGTGGACTAAGACCCTTGTTCCATAGTCTTCTGTACATCAGAGCCTCTAGCTGGAAGAAAGCTCATCATTCCCTCAATAGTGCCTATAAAAGGGAAGACAACACCCTCACACCTTTTCCCTTACCTGCCTTCCTAAATATTAGGTTGGTACAAAAGTAATTGCAGTTTTGGATCATGAATTTTAAATCATGGTAACTAGGCTCAAACACATCTTTATTAATAAAAATAGGAAGCATTACAATCAACACATTTTTGCCAATGAGAAATAAGTTTGTTTATTCCTGTAGCATAAAAATTGGTGTTTCAGGATTCAAGGAAGTCTTGGAAAGCATTTTCTGCATCCTGATGATTGTGGAAGTGTTTCCCCTGCAAAAAGTCATCAAGAGGCTTGAAGAAGTGGCAATCTGTAGTCAGTTGGTGAGAGGCCAGGTGAATATGGAGGATGAGGCAAAACTCTGTAGCCCAATTCATTCAACGTTTGAAGTGTCGATTATGCAACACATGGTCAGGCATTGTTGTGGAAGAAAATTGGGCCCTTTCTGTTGACCAATGCTGGCTGCAAGCTTTGCAATTTTTGGTGTGTCTCATCAATTTGCTAAGCATGCTTCTCAGATGTAGAGGTTTCACCAGGATTCAGAAAGCAGTAGTGGATCAGAATGATAGCAGATTACCAAACAGCGACCATAACCTTTTTTTGGTGTAAATTGGCTTTGGGAAGTAATTTGGAGCTGCTTTTTGGTCTAACCACTGAGGTGGTCATCACCACGTGTCATATAAATCCACTTCTCATCGCACGTCACAGTCCTATGGAGAAATGGTTCGTTGTTGTTGCGTACAATAAGAGATGATGACACTTTGAAATGGCGATTTTTTGATTTTCAGTCAGCTCATGAGGCACCCACTTATGCAACTTTTTCACCTTTCCGATTTGCTTCAAGTGCTGAACGACCAACCATAGGGTGATCGACGGTGAGTTCTTCAACAACTTCTCGTGTAGTTGTAAGAGGATCACTTCGATGATTGCTCTCAATTGGTCAGTGTCAACAACATTGTCAACTGGCCAGCCACTGTGCTCCTCCTCTTCAAGGCTCTCATCTCCTTTGCAAAATATCTTGAACCACCACTGCAATGTGCGCTCATTAGCAGTTCCTGGGCCAAATGCATTATTGATGTTACGAGTTGTTCTCCACTGCTCTACGACCCATTTTGAATTCAAATAAGAAAATCACTCAAAATTTGCTTTTTGTCTAACATCATTTCCATACTCTAAAATAAACATAAAATAAATAGCAAGTAATAAGTCATTAGCAAAAAAATAAAGCAAAAAATGTGCATTAAAATGATGTATAACATAACCACATTTATTTAAGAATGTATTCCAATATCAAAGCAAATTTCAACAATGGGCTAAAACCGCAATTACTTTTGCACCAACCTAAAATGGCACCTGTTAGCAGACATTCTACAGCTTGGTCACACAGCCTCTTTTCTTTAATCAATTCACAGTCTATGGAGACACTTTCACGCCTCCACATGAAGGGGTACCCCAGGGGACTTCATCCTGGTTCAGAAAGCTCAAGTTAGGTCAATAATTAATGCTTACCTAACGGCCCTTTCTGAGACCACCTGCCCCATCACCTACAGTGGAGAACTGGACTGAATGGATGATGAATTCAGAGAGGTAAGATGAAGACGTTTGCCACTTTTTCCTATGTAGCCTACTTCCTTGCTCTAGATAACATCTAAGAGCCTCATTTATTGTAGCAAAAGATTGCTTTTAATGATAAGCATGCATGCTTTTATTTGTCATAAAAATCAACCCATATTCAGTCATTGCCTGTAAGAAATTAAACCAGAAAGTTTTCCATGGTCACCCATTCTACTAAGTGAAGTATCTCAAGAATGGAAAAACCAGCACCACATGTACTCACCAGCAAATTGGTATTAACGGATCAACACCTAAGTGGACATGTAGGAGTAACATTTATCGGGTGTCCGGAGGGTGGGAAGGGGGAGGAGAGGATAGGTGTATACAACCACAACAAGTAAGATGTGCAACCTTTGGGGGATGGACACGCTTGAAGCTCTTACTCGAGGGGGGAGGGTGGCATGGGCAATATAAGTAACCTTAACACTTGTACCCCCATAATATGCTAAAATTAAAAAAAAGTTTTCCAGTCCCTAAGCCTAGTTACAAACAAATATGTACAAGCTATGTTGACACCATGCCTTAAACATACAGTAATATCATGGGGAGAATGAATATCTGCTCTTCTGATTTAGATTTGAGGTTAGATTGGGTAGGTCTGTGCCAGAGTTGGCCAGTCTGAATTGCAAACAAATGGCCTTGGGTGATATCAGACCTGATAAGGAAATGAAGTCACCCAGCTATGATGAGCTGAGCCTTACAAGAGGCTCTGTGTGCGCTCCTGTGTGTATAGGCAAATCACTCACCCAGATGGCTCCTGGGCCACTGCACTGGCTCAGCCTCTGCCTGCTATTTTTGAGCTAGCCATTTATCACTACTAGAGCTTTATTAAAAATGTACCCTCCACTCTTCAGAGAACAAATATGAAAATCTGGTTTCTGAAGAGATCAGAACCATTTATTTTTGAAGTTGGCAGCGCTGGCTGTGAACACTGCTCCGGGATGGATCTCTTCTGTGGAAAGAGGAGTTATATATTTTTCAAAACAAGCTCTTCTCCTTTCATCCCCAAGAAATAATGAAATATTAAATATGGTATGAAAAAATTAGAATGTTTTGAAAGGGAAAGAGAAAGCAAATCACACACCCTGATTAGAAATCACCGCAGGAGGCCTGTCTGATAACAGGAAAGAGAAAGTTGTTGGGACCAGGGCCCTCTGATCACTCCATCTGTCCCCTGGCTTCCCCGCAGAGCTGGCGGCCAAGCGCTGGGTGACTGCACTAGCTGCTCCAGCCGTAAGGGAAAGAGGAGCAGATGGGGCATCTTTGGAGTGGCTGTCCAACTCTGGCCAAGACCCTCTCATTGAACACCAGGACAACTAGTTGAGAAGTGAGAAAACCAGCCAGTTAGCTAGCTATCTACTTGGAATGAGACAAGGCTTAAAATTAGAAAGCCTTGGGTATCAATTCCAGCTCAACCACTTTTTGACTATGTGGTCTTGGAAAAATTACTTACCTCCTCTGAAATCTATTGTCACATCAAAGAAAGTAGAGATAATAATACCTATTATCCACCTGGGGGGGATTGATTATGATCATTAATGTAAAGCACCTGACTTAGAGTAGATATTTATTATAGTAACAGTAGCAAACACTTCAGTTGTGCTTATGTTGTTCCAGGCACTCAACTCATTTAATCCTAAAATGATCATATGACAATGGTACTATTTTTGTCCCTACTTTATAGAGAAATTGAGGCACAGCAAGGTTAAGTAACTTGCTTAACACACACCCCTCTTATACGGGCAGAGCCTGGATTCACACCCAGGTAGTGGGGTCCTGGATCTGCTTCTCTACTCCTGTGCACGTCAGGATAGAAGAGTCTCTGTGAATTATGGTTAATTTTCCCCTACCCATAGGAACCATATGATTTTCTTCTCGCAGAAATTAGTGTTATTTTTGCTTGGACACGACCCATGCGAATTTGAGAGTGCATCTCAGATTCTGGATATCTGTTTCTGCAGGAAATGCCCTTCCTTTGCACTGCCTAAGAAGTCCAACACCCTTCCAATGGATGAGCTTAAGTCCCTCACGTTCCAACAGAAACCAGCTGATTTCACTACAGTGGTGCAGAATGGACAAAAGACTGGTTGTTTGGATATTTCTGATTTTCACTGGGTTGGTAGGGATTTGTGAAGACGTTTTAAAGCTGGAGATTCACAGACCATCAAGATGCAATCCCAGATGTCATCAATAAACTTAGGCATTGGTTACCAATCAGCAGCTCCTGTTGAGCAAAAACTGAATCATTGTCACCTGTGTCAGTGAAAACAAAAGAACACCTTGTTAAATCAGGATCTTAGCTTGTCCTGATTTACGTATTAGTCTTGTTCTTCATAAATTGGTGTTTTTTTTAATACATGATATGGCAGTCATCAATAAATGTTTATGAGTGTTTGAACGAACTGAAAGCTGCATGAAAAACTAATTTTGTAAATAAATTAACTTTAAATTCATAGGAAAATGTACTATTTTGTAAAATCATTGTATGAAATGGAGGCTTCTTCTCTCATGGAATATGTTCTGGTTAATGTACCTATTCAGTACCTTCAAATTTTGGTTCGATGGGGTTTCTTAAAATGAATTATGTAATATATACACATACATATCAATAGCAACAGTGATAATCCTGAGTCCTTGAAGGGCATTGAGGTTTGAGAATGAGGTTCTTATGGGCAACACATTTGGTTTTTCCTGCGGTATCTACCTGTGAGTTGTTGGCAGTAATCCAACTGTAATCAGATACCATCTGTGATTGCTTTTCTGTTTAACATCAAAACTTCACTGAATAGAAATACCCCCCCTTCCTCCCATCACCACCCCCTCCCTGCTTCCTGCTCCCCAACAGACCTCAAGGTTGCTCTCTCATCAATTTATTCCCACCTAAGAGGCGCAAAGGTAACAATATAATGGCAAGTGAGATTTCCAAGTATCCAAGTGTAAACCATGCAGTTGTATATCAGTGGAGATATGAGCATGACCTAGTGCAGAAAACAAACTTAAATTCTTGAACTAGGTTTATCAAGAGTTCAGCCTGATAGCAATTTTATGTTTCTAGTTACAGCTGATATTGCAAATGTCAGATCAGCACTAAAACCACACAGGTACAATGGCATTTGAGGGAGTGTGCAGATGATTTCCACCCACATGTATTTCAGTTATCAGAAGGTCCTGTCTTTATCTGCTGCGATGATTCCGATACTATACGCACTTGTAGTGCCAAATTTACATAAAGAAAGCAAAGAAACAAGATGAGATTGGGACTTTAGCAGAATGGCTGCAGAGTAGGAGAGATTGGAATTGATCTACTGGACTCAAAAATAATTTTAGCACTATGAATATATGCATTTTGCATTCAACCCTTAAAAAGATGCGTTTAAATTCTTCCCTGTGGCAAATACATTTTCTTTTCTTTAAATGTTTAATCAGCACAATTTTCCTGCTCATCTAAGATACAGCAGCACATCTGCATAAGTGGAAAATATAGTGTGGAGAGGTGATTCCTTTGCCCTTCTCCTGGCGGGAAGGCAGCCAATGTACAGGTTGCTGCATGTAGTCATCTTTATTTTTCAAGTACAGGCCAAGCTAAATAAAACATATACCCTAACATAAAATAAAATAGAAAAGAAGAACTGAGAGGATTTGAGAACTCATTGACTATTTTTAAACAAAGGTGTTCGGTCTGCGTGCATGTGAAGGGAACCTACACAGAAGGGAACCTAGAAAGATGGGGGGGTCTGTCATGAAAGCAGTAGAGAATGGGCTTGGGTTGGTGGATGTGAGGAAAGGTGTGCACAAAGACAGGGAAATGACCAGTAGTGACCAGCAGTCATGTAGAAGGATGGAAAGATGGTGACAGTATTGATTTAGGGACCATTTGCAATAAAGAGACAGTCAATGCCTTAATGAGTTCTGTTTGGTTATGTTCTTAATCATATTATATTTAACATCTTATCAGGATTTTCTAAATAAGTTAATTTACTTTTGGAAAAAAAAGAGAAAGAAAAGAGGCCTGGGGCAGTGGCTCACGCCTGTAATCCTGGCACTCTGGGAAGCCAAGACGGGAGGATTGCTTGAGGTCAGGAGTTTGAGACCAGCCTGAGCAAGAGTGAGACCCCATCTCTACTAAAAATAGAAAAAAATCAGCCAGGCATGGTGGTGCATGCCTGTAGTCCCAGATACTCGGGAAGTTGAGGCAGGAGGATGGATTGAGCCCAGGAGTTTGAGGTTGCTGTGAGCTAGGCTGACGCCATGGGACTCTAGGCCAGGGAACAGAGTGAGACTCTTTCTCAAAAATGAAAGAAAAGAAAAAAAAGAAAGAAAACGATGTACATTCTACTTCAAGATAGATTACACAGATCACTTCCCTCCCTCTAGGGGCTATATTAAAATGCTAAAAAAACAATTTTATTAAAGAGTGGAATGATAATAGGGAGGGAACACCAGCAGATGAGAGACTTCAAGAAATTTCTGGAAGGTAGGAAGTGGTGGAAACATGTAGACAGATGAAAATAGTGGAAAAGCCACAGGCAGAGTGTGCCGTGGGACTTTACCATGGGAGAGGGCCCCTACCTGCCTGGGGCACTAAGGGTGGGAGTCAGTAGAATGATGAAAGAGAAGGAGAGAGCAGAAGAGGTCAAAAACATACACTGGGAAAAGAATCCTTATTCAATAAATGGTACTAGGAAAACTGGATAGCCACATGTAGAAGACTAAAACAGGATCCACACCTCTCACCACTCACAAGAATCAACTCACATAACAGACTTAAATCTAAGGCATGAAACTATAAGCATTCTAGAAAAAAAATTTGGAAAAACTCTTACAGACATTGGCCTAGGCAAAGAATTTATGAAGAAGACCACAAAGGCAATCACAGCAACAAAAAAAATAAATAGGTGGGATCTGATCAAATTAAAAAGCTTCTGCACAGCCAAGGAAACTATCACGAGAGCAGACAACCTACAGAATGGGAGAAAATATTTGTATGCTACACATCCAATAAAGGGCTGGTAACTAGCATCTATATAGAACTCAGAAAAGTCAGCAAGAAAAAATCAAACAACCCTATCAAAAAGTGGACAAAGGACATGAACAGAAATTTTTCAAAAGAAAATAGACTAATGGCCAACAAGCATATGAAAAAATGCTCAATATCTCTAATCATCAGGGAAATACAAATGAAAACCACAATGAGATATCACTTAACTCCAGTGAGAATGGCCTTTATCAAAAAGTCTCAAAACAATAAATGTTGGCATGGATGCGGAGAGATAGGAACACTTATACACACCTGGTAGACTGCAAACTAGTTCAACCTCTTTGAAAAGCAATATGGAAATACCTCAAAGAACTACAAGTAGAACTACCATTTGATCCACTGATCCCATTACTGGGCATCTACTTAAATGAAAAAACGGCATTCTATAAAAAAATCATCTGCTCTAGAATGTTTATAGCAGCACAATTCACAATTTCAAAGATGTAGAAACAACCCAAGTGCCCATCAATACGTGAGTGGATTAATAAAATGTGGTATATGTATACCATGGAGTTCTGCTCAACCACAAAAAACGATGGTGATCTAGCACCTCTTGTATTATCTTGGATAGAGCTGGAACCCATTCTACTAAGCGAAGTATCACAAGAATGGAAAAACAAACACTACATGTACTCACCATCAAATTGGTGGTAACTGATCAACACTTAAGTGCATATATAGTAATAACATTCATTTGGTGTTGGGCAGATAGATGAGAGGGGGAAAGAGGGAATGGGTATGTTCACACCTAATGGGTGTGCTGTGTACCGTCTGGGGGATGGACATGCCTGAAGCTCTGACTCAGGTGGGGCAAAGGCAATATATGTAACTTAAACATTTGTACCCCCATAATATGCTGAAATAAAAATAAAAAAAGAAAGAAGAGGTCAGAGAAGGGTGTAACTTTTGAAGGACTGTGCCTGGAATTCCCATTTGCCCCATGAACACAGAGCTGCAGGCCGCCTGACCATGAGCTCCAGGATCCTTCTCAGAAGACAGTGAATAAACCAAGGAAAGCCATGTCCTCTTTTGAAAGTCTTTTGAAGGCAGTCCTCTTTCTGGCATCTGGGTACCATTAAATCTGTCGGGCAGCTCTATACTCACTAGCCATAAAGCCGGTCTTTCCAAATGCCCCACCCTCCTACTCAGACCTTCCAGGCAGACTCCCCAGGCAAGGAGAAAAAAAAAATCTTTTTACTGAATAGAGGAGGGAGCACATACACCTTCCTCACTAATATGCATCATCCAAGAGGATCAAACACATGAGGAAAAGAAATAGTATCAAAGAGAAGGACCACAATTATCAGAGAAAATAGATATAATTCAGAAAATAGAAGAGGACTTTTAAGAAAATCCTCCAGTGCCCTCAAAGAGATTTGAGAGAGATTGTATCTATGAAATAGAATCAGTGAAATAGGAACACAGAACAAGCAAGAGGCCTAGAAGTGAAGTATAATTGCTCTAAAGCAGGGGAAATCTACGAAACATGGAGAAGAATATGAAGAGAAGATAAAAAGGAAAGAAATGTAAAACATAGAGGCTTACTTCAAAAAGTCCACCTTCAGAGTGATGAGGGTCCAAGAACAATAGCTCTTAATAATAAAAGAAGCGTATATTCATTTGCTAGGGCTGGTGTAACAAGATACCACAATCTAAGTGGTTTAAACAGCAGAGATTTGTTGTCTCACAGTTTGGGAGGCTGAAAGTCCAAGATCAAGGCGTCAGTGGGGTCGTTTCTGTCTGATGGCTGTGAGGGAGGACAGGCTCCAAGCCCAACTCTTGGCTTCTGTTAGTTTGCTACCAATCTCTGGTGCTCCTCGGCTTGTAGAAGCATCGCCCCATCTCTGCCTTCATCTGCATGTGCCCATCTGTCTCTGTGTCCAAATTTCCCCTTTTAAGAAGGATTAAGAGCCCACCCCAATAACTCATCTTACCTTGATCATCTGCAAAGACCCTGTTTCCAGATAAGATCACTTCCACAGGTGCTTGGGGGTTAGAACTTTAACATCTTTTGGGGGCCACAATTCCATCCATAACAGGGTGAAAATTCTTTTGAAAATTAATTTAAAAAAAATTTTTTTTGCAAAGATATAGATACAAGTATTCCAAATTAAAAGGCATAACCAGGGGCAAATAAGATGAATGAAAAAACGGTTCCTGTCTAGAGACATTTTCATGGAATTTGAGAACTAGAAGTGTAAAGAAAATTTCTCAGGCTTCTGGAAAGGAAAAACTGGTGACCTTGAAGGGTAAGAATCCGACTGGCACAAGATTTCTTTTCATTATCAGTGGATGTTAGAAGACAATGAAGAAATGTTTTTAAAGCACCGAGGGAAGATGGTTTTCAAACTAGAATTTTTCTTT